GACCCGATATCCACACATAGGAAATCAGGCTCTAGAGGGAGCCCTTTGTGAGAACACAAGCTGTTCCATCCAAGTAAGTTTGGTTGAAAGGTTGGTCCTCGATCATGGTTACAAAGGCTTTGTTTGGTGTTGCAAACTTGAGAAGAGCTTGGTTGAAGAAGCGTGAGCTATCCTGCGTCCTAGCTAGGAGCGAACTTCTCCTAGTAGCTTGCCTCCTTACTTAGATGAGTAGGCGCCTACTTAATTGAGCAAGGGGGGGCTAAACAACAGAAAATTGGAAACTGGCGAACAGAAGATTATGGGCCGCCGCTTGCCATGGTGTGCCAGGTAGGTGGCGATTTTGGAGGCGGCAGTGGACCATGGAATTGCAAGCCATTTGTTCAACAGCCCCCATAGAATAGAAGCAACCTCGATTTGGCAATTTGACAGTTGAGCTGCTGGTGCTCCCAAGTCCTAGCTAAGCCTTATAATGAACTCAAGTTGGTTAGGAGGACAAAAATGCCAAAACTGAGCTCCGCAGCTTCTCCTGGAATGCCTTGGCATCGCCTCCTCTATCTGGATGCAGCTTCAAGGCCAAACGCCTCCAAACTGAACGCGGGCTCTGGTTGACAAGCTTCAGTGCTTCTTTGATGATGGTCTGATGCTGTCAACCTGATGATGCATCAATTTCCATTGACAAGATTTGACAAGTATGTTGCTAGAGTTCGACACATGATTTTAGCTGAAGACCCAACACATGTAAAGCATGTGTTTTGGAGAAGAAAAAGCTGTGGCCTGTAAGCTCTTTTGATCTCCTCTTGCGAAGCCTTTGGGTTAACTTCGAGGAGATCATACAAGCGGTACTCCAGCATGGCCTGAGTGAGCTTGCTGAACTAAAGTGCCGTCCATAGGCTTGGCATGTCGAAAACCAGCGCCTCAAGCTGCCGCTTCTACTCACCATATGGCCATTCCGCGCGAAGCTCTAAGGTTGCTCATGTGATTGGCAGCCATAACACTGCACAAGTTGGCAGCAATTGTGCCTGTCTGAGCATCTGTGCTCTGCAGCTATTCTCAAAGATTCTTGAGGGTCTTCTTTGGTGCGCATAGTAGCAAATTCGGTAAATTGTTTCATGAAAAGAACTGACGAGCCAATGGCCCTCACGTTTAGAGCAAAGGCAAATCAATATAGTCTACAGTATATTGATAGTCTCATCTGCATGAACTAGCAACGAATCAGCCACGCAACTTCCTCTTCAAGCAAAGGAAATAAGGAATCTGAAGCAACTAGACCTGCAAGCAGCAACATAGGTAAAATCAGTCTGGGCAAATACTTAGCTTCGATGATCAGCTCGGTTCCCAACACGCGTGTCGCAGAGTCGCCTCGACTCTCTGCAGAACCTGCTGGAAATGTAGGAGAGAACAGTCTGTCAAAGAGACTCAGAGCTGCATAGTACTGTATTCGTTCAACATTGTGCAGCTAGGCCGAATTCTCATTGGCTGTCTGAAGCACTGTGCTAAATGCAATAGTTTCACCTGACTGCGCGAATGCACTCTGCTTCATGCTTGCTCGGAGTGCTAACTCAGTCCTGAGTTCACCAAACGGTCAAGCAGATCTTGCGTCAGGAAATGACACATGCAACCATAAAGGATCCAGGCTGGAATAGACCAATCATGAGGAGGGAAGTGCCAATCCTAGCTCCCATACCTACAGTCTCGAAATCAGCCTTTCTAAGTTGGGAACATAGGTTGCGCTGATGGCTGCAAGAACGCACCAACACCTGGACAGTCAACGTACAACAACTGGTTCCAACCAAACCCATCGACCTTGCATTTTCACAAGGTGTCGAAAGATCAAACTCTACCCGGTTTTTGGTGTATCCCAGCCAAGCAGAAATAGAACTTTGGGCTATGTCTGAGAATTCCTCCAAAGAAGAAGCTGAAGCTGTTCTCTAAGAGGCGACAAGATTTCAGTGGAGATCCAACCTACACAGGAGGCTGCAGCCATGGCAAGCATCAGTCTCCTCGCCATGTTGACTCCTGGCATGAAAATGTGATGCAAAGGAAGAATCGCCACTTCGACCTCTGACGACAATCGCCACAATCAAGCGCAAAAGCTCCTCCCGCCAGACTAAGCTGTCGGGTGCCCTGATGCCTTGGCCCTTGAGCCAGGCTTGGGCGTTCAAAAGTGTTGGGTGTTGCAATGGTGCCATTGAAATGAAGCGAGTAGGTGCATCAAACCACATCAAAGGCAGAACGATGCACACCTTTTCCACCGCAGGAGACTGCCAATTGCGCTCCTTGAAAACCTGGAGGGAATGATACAAACCATAGGCTATGCACACTCCAAATCTCACCTGCTGGTTTTGAAGTACCTGGTTCAGAAGCTTTTGGTTGGATACCCTCCAGTCGGATTTGGGCATCTACGACCTTTTGGAGGTCCCTAGCCCTTGAGTTCGGTCATGTATGCAACTGGCACGCGGCCTGATCACACTCACTTGGACTGGAAAAGCCCTTTGTGATGCAAAAGTAAAGCTTCAGAATGCGCTCAGCATACTTAGGGCTTTGGTCTAGGTCCTGCGACCAGGCAATAAAGTCCAGCTGTAGAATTTGATCGCCACCAAATGCATCCAGCCATGAGAATTCACTCCAACAATACGAAACAAAACCAACATCTCTTCTGTGCAACCTCAGAGCATCTGCATTGTGGTAAGAATGCATTTGGTGTCCATCAAACTGCCATCCTAGCTACTTGCATACAAGACGGTGCGAAGCCAAGCCCCGACAATTCGAGGATTGACTGTCAGACCATAAGTGTGAAACATTCTCCCTGTTGATGGGGAGGAAGTAGGGCCTAAATTGCCCCTTCCAAGAATGGACATTTGCACTGTTGCTCAGGAATGACAATTTCAAGCATGGCTTGTCAATTTGCCAAAAGTACTGAACACTTGTGGTATCAGGCGCTTTGCACCGGAACGTGATCTCTTGCACCAAGGTTCAAAATTTCAATTGGACCAGCATTTGCACCACTCATTTCACAGTCTGACTAAAGTTTTCATGTTTTCCAATCATAGAGAGTTGAGCTTCAACCGCTTTCATTGCTACGCTGGCACCATACATTCCACGACGCTTGGCTTTGAAAAGTCACAATGGCACTGCAAGCTTCTGCATTGCCACATCAACCTCATCCAACGAGCAGTTGCATTTACCGAGACAGCAGTTCCTAGCTCTTGCAACATGATTCCATCGACACAGATGTACATGATGTACTGGAGACTGATAAAACAATAGGATCCATCGACACAGGCGGTATTGAAGTGCTCTATCACTGAATCAGCTCCCAACGTAGATTCGTTGACAGCCTGCAGAATGCCAGCTATACTGCAGGGCCAGGGTATGTGGGTGAGTGCATTGTGGCGAGGGTGGTTGTCATAGTTCAAATCCACTACGGGATAGCAAACACTCTAAGCGCAGATTAGTGGAATGTCTTGTTGCCTATCCCATCATCATTCCTACTCTGCCTCTGTCCCTCTCAACGCCCCTTTCCGCTCCTTGATCTTTAAAGGTCGGGACTGTCCGGCACGTCATATCCGTGACCCCATTGTATGCCCAGCGGGCAGCTTAATGCCGAATTGCTGCCGCATGCAAACTACTATACCATGCTACACCTGGCACGTTGGCACCAATTACCCGTGCTTGCAGAAAGTCACCAAAGCTCTGGAGAGTTTGTCTCCACTCAGCTTATCTCCAACCAAATTATGAACCGCAGATTCACTTGAACAGTGTGGACACCACGGTCCAAAGCCAAAAGTACATTGTTTTGTGGAGGCTGCCGTGTGAATCTGTCCTCCATGGCAGAACAGAAACAAGATTGGACTCTGACAAGTAAATGCTTCCAGCATGATATATTTGACCAGTCAAATCTTTATTCGAAAACACCTCACTCCCTTGGAACCTGGAGGCCTTCAAAAGTCCTCGACGTCTGACAAGCACCCACGACACTCAGTACCTCGCCTCTTCTTTGCGAAGCTTCAGAATTCAATACATCACCTCGGGCACGGCTGATTTGCCACTTGAAGATGAAGCCGGCTTACACAAACACGCTTACATGAGATGCGGCTGCGAGAAGGAACTAGAAGCAGAACTCAGCTTTACAAAGACGTCACCGCGACAGCTATCTCAATGTGCTTGAAAATCAGGCAGACCTACAGCATCTAACGAATCCAAGTGAGAATTTGTGCACATTGAAAAATGTTTAAAACCTACTCTCTGGTGAATAAGGACAAGCCGACGTACGCATGATCGATACCACCTGGCTTCACTCAACAGTATTGGTGGTGGGACGTCCTACTTTATCAGTTTCCTTATACGTTTCAACACCCTCCCAACACTCTCTGCATCCAGGGAACTGCACACGCTCCCAATCGGAGAGCAAGAGCAGCGTTGCCAGGTAAGCAGAGGATTTGTGCGCAAGTGTTGAAGCACATTCGTTTGCAACAAACAATGGGTTACAATAGGATGATAAATAAGGGTAGCCAAGAATTCAGTTGAATGCCAAAATACCTCTGCCACCTCGTGGCAAGTAGTTGAAATGTACCTGACAGCAAAAAGAAGACAGCTGAATGCACAAAACCATTGGAGTAAACCCGAAATGATATATACTTTTTCTGACCCTTTAGCTCTTCTTCAGAAGAGGAATCTCCTTCAGATCTTCCGGGATGTCCAGCTCAATGTAAAGCTGAAAAGCTTGCTAGCAGTGAAGAGCAGCTGTCTCATGTGGGATTCTGACATACCAAGATCACTGGCCTTTTCAAAGGGCACGCCTGGGTCGGCGCGGTCCTGGAACCACCACAGAAGAGTGTAATGAGAATCTGCCACCAGCCAGTTTTGAAGCAAATCAATTGCAAAGCACTATGCATGGTTAAGAACTTCTGCAAGCCCTGCTGCTTTGAGGCAGGAACCTGCGTCCCTTTCAGAGGTCTCCTGACGCACCTGCGAAACGAATCTCGCCATGTTTAAATAGTGTCTGCTGAATTCTACTCGCTGCTTCACTGCTCTCGATGATAGGATCTCACACTTTTGAGATTCGCTGAGACAACCATCGCTACTTTCTGTGGAAGACTACGCCAAATCACTCAACCTCACGACATCAGTTTAACTACAACACTGACAACAACACTGACTCAAGAAGTTTCTTTTCAAGTCCACACAATACTGTCCGTATCTCTTCAACTCGATGCCTGTGGTTTCTCCACACGTCTGTGCCTCAGCAAGCGGAATACTACAATACAACTCTGCAAACAGAGCCGGCAAAGCCACGCGCAGGGCACGTCTCTCGAAAATTGAACTAGGAACAAGAAGCTGCTAGGAACAAGGGCATAGCTACTAGGAGCAAGAAGCTACTATATAGTACCTCCTGGCATTACTACTAGTAACAAGAAGCTACTAGGAACAAACGGCCGAGCTGTGTGAGATCCTGTCAAGCTCAGACGCCAACCCATGGGCGCGTTTATCGCTGCCTGTCAGGCACCGGCAGTGTGCGTTGTTCTTCATGGATCTTGAAAGCACATGATAACAAACTCCTCAGCTCATTCTCTTATCACATGTGACCAGCATGGCAAGGAAGACTACGTCTGATCAGGACCTGATCATCGGGCCATTTGTACAGCACCAAATCTGGAAAGCGCGTTGAACCCGCCTGTAGACGTTCGATGTTGCACAGGAGGCTGCGCATCATAGGCTCTGGCAGCGGGGACTTCACCACCTTTGACAAGACGATCCACATCTTGCGCTGCTTGCACAGCCAAGTTGAGAATTGCCTGGAACTGAAAGCTTGCGCAGCTCACGCAAGTCGTTCCTGCGAATCAAAATGAGATCAGCGATCGGTGTGAATCTTTTTCAGCCAAACAGTTTAAAGATGTTTAAAGTGAAGCCATCAAATTCAAACAGGCCCAGTTTGCACTTTCATCTGCTCAGCAAAGCTCGCGTGTGTCCGATGTCTGAG